TGTCCCTTGCAGGGATGCTGAAGGCTCTGCACCCCGTTCCACACCCATCACCGTGCCCAAGAAAAGGAAGGGGTTCTGTGAGTGCTGCCAAGAGACCTTTGAAGAGCTGCACAAGGTAAAGGCTCCCCTGGGATCTGATTCCTGCCAAGAGTTGTGGGGGCCACTCAGAGGCTGTGTTAATCATGTCATGCTCATTAGCACAGCTCCCCCTGTGAGCTCAGGRTCTGCCTCTGAGATGGGAACGTGGAATATCTGTGTGCCCAACACAGGGGGGTGTGAAGGTTGGGGCATGAGAAGCTCATCTCTCAGGTTGGGAGAGCTCAAGCATCATCCTGTCACCTGCTCCATCAGGTGAAGATGCTGTTCCACAGCAGCCACGGGGCACAGGGGGATTGAAAAAAGTGGGAGGAGGTTTTTGATCTGGAGGGTGCCAAGCAATAGGGCTTTCAGAGCTGTCAGTGACACAGTGGTGCAGGAGTCTTTTTCCTGCTGCTGGGCTGCTCTTGAATSCAGACTCAGCCTCCACACATGGGCAGCAGCTGGGAACAGGACACACTCTGTGTGTGTGTGTATGTTCCCAAACCTGCTGCCAGGCACTGGCTCTGTCCCTTTGCCCCCTGCTCTGCAAATTCCCCTCCTGGCAAAGCTGTGAGTGTTGTTAAAGGGTGTCTGCCACCTTCCAGCACCTGCAGAGCCCCCAGCACCAGCAGTTTGCCCAGGATGGCTCCCAGTACATCCCTGTGGATCGTGTCATCTCCCAGCTCACCTACAGCTTTGTGGAGKGCTCAGCCAGGTAAGGATGGGAATTTGGGAGCTCCTGGAGTCCACAGGCAGTGGGGAATGGGGTCCCTGTGCCAGGGAATCAGAGGCTGCAGCAGAACCATCTTGGCAGCTGCTGGGCAAAGCTTAGATGAACCGTGGGACATGTTCCTACTTTTCCATGGGTTTTCTCCTTTAGGAAGCTCCCCGTGGACTCCTGGTGCCTCCTAAAGTAGAAAGGGCAGCTGAGCCCATCTGCCCCTGTGTCTGACTCAAACCCTGCTGCTCTGTACCCACCCTGTGCCTGGGTGCTGGGTTGAGGATCCTTCATGCTGCCCATCTCTGCCAGCAGCAGAGTCAKTCTGAGCTCTCACCAGGATAAAATTCCTTCCCTGCTCCTGAGCAAGGGCTGCAACCACTCTGCTCTGCGGGAGMGGCCTCATCTCCCTGGGGGAGGGCATTGCTGGGCCTGCATGAGCATTAACTCCTGGTTCCTCTCAGGGTGCCCCGCTCCTGCCTGGCAGATGAACAAGCAGAGCCTCAAGCACACGGCCCTGGAGGAGCTGAGCTGGGAAAGGAAGGGGAGCAGCCTGAGCAGGGTGCTGTGGAACTGGTAACGGACACGGAGCAGGATCATGGCCTGAAGACAGAGGGATGTTCCACCTGCCCGCCCAGGGATGGRGTCAGAGATCCCAGAGCAGGAGTGGGGCTGGCAGAGCACGGCTCCCTGGGGCTGCCYGGGGCAGCAGGACTCAGCAGAGGGGTCTGTGCTGCCCGTGGCACCACGGAGGAGGCCGGGCTGGGCACTTCAGGTTTGGGCTGGGGGCCTCGTGCAGCACCCGCTCCTGCCAGAGAGGCAACGGCTTCATGGGAACCTCAYGCACAGCCTGGCTCTGGCAGCCCTGCTCCCCAAGCACTGCCTGCTGCCAGGAAGCGCCAGCTGTGCTCCAGACAGAGCTCCCAGGTGGGAAAGAGGCCCAGGCTGGAGCTGGAGCTGCGTTTTGGCCTCTCCCCTGCGGGTGAGCAGACGGAGCCGGTGGGCGAGGCAGGGGCGCAGGGTGCAGGGCAGGTGTCCGAGCCAGGCCTGCCCGGTGTGGTGGGGGCTGGCAGCGTGCCCCTGGGCACACAGCTCTCCAATAGCCCTCACAGCTCCCCTGCCTTGCATCTGTGCCTCTGTGGGAGCCCTGGGGACCCTGGAACCCGGCCGGGATCCCCAGGAGCTGCAGGTTTGGATCCTGGGGAGGCAGCTGTGGCCAGCACTGCCAGCAAGTGTGGCAGGGAGCRATCCCGAGGGAAGCGGCACGGAGGGGACGGTGACAACACACCCAGCAATGGGAACAGGCCTGCTCTGGAGAGCACGGCCAGCAGCACCAGCTGCCCTGCTGGCWGCCTGCCCTCTCCCACACTGCCCGTGGCTGGAGCCAGATGTTGCTGCTCGCTCTGTGTCAGGGCAGCGGAGGAAACAGTCCCCAGGCAGGGCACGGAGCGGGCGCCGAGCCCCGGCCTCCTCCCGCCTGCTCCCCGCAGCCCAGGCACTGCTCCCGGCTTCGGCAGGAGCTCCTCAGAGTCAGACTGGGATGTGCAGCTGCTCCCCAGCCTCCCGGGGCTGCGGGGCCGCAGTGTGCTGCCCGTGGACAGGGACTTGCTGCAGCAGACACAGGGCAGCGTCAGGGACAGCGGCTACGAGTCGCAGCTCTGCTCTGTGCTCAAGGACTCGGAGTTGGCCTGGGCAGGCCCAGAGGACAAGAACTGCAGGAACTGCTGCACAGAGACCCGAGGAGCCTCTTTTCCCAGATTTGGGACATTGTTTGGCAGCTGGACCAGCTAAAACCACCTTTCCGGACCCTCGGTGGGAGCTGGGAAGGGATTTACCAAGCCACCCTTGGTGTCAGGACCTGGAGCCACATCCAAGAGCTGGAGTGAGGACAGCACCAGCAGCATGGGCAGCTCTGCCATTGGGGATTGACAGGGATGCAGTGGCTTCACTGTCCTTTGCTGGGATCCTCCCTCTCTTGTTTAGAGCCAGCAGCTTCCTCTACCTCCTCGCAGGYTGCTGCCACGGTGCTGCATCTGGAAGTCTCTCTTCAGCAGGAATGTGCTCTTTGTCCTCCAGAGAGGTTCCTCCTGTCCCATGGTCCCAGAGGTGCAAAGATGTGGGAGAGGAGGGTCATGGGGTTGAGATTTGTGCTCCTCATGTGGTCTGGGGTGTTGTCTTTGAGTATTTTCAGCTRGTTTTAACTTGTTTGGGTTTTTTTATGAACTTCTAACCTTTGAAATAAAATGGAGAGATCCTGCTCTSCTTTGGGGTTTGAATGTGTCTGGGGGTGGGAGCAGAGCAGGAGGGGTTGGGTGGAGATAAGCTTTGCTGGAAGGGCTCGGTAATGGACACCACAATGGCAGTGTGGTCATCAGGCTCTGGGAAGCTCTTGTACCCAGTGCAGGGATGGCCCCCAGTAAGGAGAGGGGTGTGGAGAAACTGGAGAGCAGGTGCCCAGAGCCTGGTGACCTCTCCTGGGCATGGGGCTGAGGGATGGAGATCAGTAATGGCCTGGGCTGGCCAAGACGATGTTCTGGGGTACCTGTGGCTTCTTGAAGGGCAGTTCCAAGCAGGATGGAGCCTCTGTGCACACCAGGACAGGCCCTCTTGGGGGGGGTCTGTGGCTGTGCTGCCTCCCCCCATGGGCAGTGTCACCCTCTGTGCTGCTCCAGCTGCAACAAACAGGAACTCACTGGGGCAACAAACAGGAATTTACTGGGSCTTGTCTCCCTAAAATTGTTCCATTATCTCTGGGAGGGAGCATGGCCTTGCAGCAACCCCCAAAATCAGAGYGACCCAAGAGGGACTCTGGGCTCTGGTGCTTTCTGAGGGTAGGGAACCTCTGGCTGACATCAACCACCCACTGGGGATGGTCCAGAATCGCCTCATGTCCCCAGGGCTGTGGGCACCAGCACTGCCTGCTTTCAGCACCATCCCCTTGGAGTCCCTGGCTCCGTCCAGAGCTGGGAGCAGTGAGGGGCTTGGTTGAAGTTGGGAGGTGGTGCTGGTTGGGGGCTTCAGTCCCAGCTGGGGGCTCTGATAATGGCTGTGGGTCCAGGCAGTGGTTGGAAGCTCCAGTACGGGCTGGGGGGACTCTGGGACTGGCTGGGAACCAGCTGGGGACTGGGGACTCGTCAGGGACTSGGTGCCAGCTGAGAGGGACTC